AAGTAATCATCTATAATATATTCACAACACTATTAACAATAAACTTTTTGTGAAATTTATTATAATTCAATTTAATCTGAATCATCAATTGTATATTTCTATCAATTTTAGAAACTTTTGGTATTTTTTGCGACGCTTTGTCCCAAATGAGATGATCATTAACGAGGGATTTTATTAATACGAAAATAAATTTAGAAATTTAAAAAAATCTATGTTCCTAATTTTTCTATTTTAAATTTCAATTGTGATATTGCAAAAATAACGTTACTAAGAATATTCGATAACAATAACTTTACGAAAAACAAAAATATAAATTGGAAGAAAGTAATATCTATTTGAAAGATATTAACAAATACATTTTAACTTAATTTCTTTCATTATCTCTAATTATCAAATTGAATTCCCTGAAAATAAATTTCTTTCTCAAAAAGACTACTATGGTTGGTAAGCCATACAAATGACCAATTCTTCCCGTTTAATCGAACCAGAATGTAATTCACCGAGAGACAATTCGCGATGCATTATGATACACCTACAATTAGAAGACTCGTATCCCATCCGCGGGAATCCTCCCTGGAGTGCAAGTACCAAGACGAAACGAACCCATGGATTATCCAAGGAAGTGCGAAGAGGCTTTTAACGCGGAATAATTTATTTAAAAGCCTCGACCCCTCGAAAAAGGGAATCTCTGATGAAACAGCCTTAATTAGCGTACAGTTTCTTACCGACGAATTCTCCTTTCTTTTCTTTTTTCCCGTCCTGGAAAACCGCGTTGTTCTTCTTTTTTTTTCGCCCCTCTCTTTCCCACCTCCTTCCACACTTAATCACTCTCTTCTTATCCCTTTTTATTCCTCTTTTTTTTATTCATCGGTCTTATTTTCCCTTCTCCTCTCCGTCGATAATAGCTTTTCGTTAATTTTTTACCGATCGAGCGCGAAAAGAAACGGGCGTATTTCTCCCCCTCGTTAGAAGAAGGGTAATGGGATCGGGAGTCTAACGAGAGCCCGAGTTTGATTGGACTTGGACGAAAGAGAATATCGAGTTATTGTTTGTGAATATCGTTGGCAAATATGTTAATGACGGCGTGACGGGACCGGCCGGTCAGAAACAAGGTCGATCGATCGGCCGATGAATGTTAAATAATTGGGGGCAACTTAATTCGTGTAACCTGATTAACGCGACATGCATCGACGGGAATCAGATTGCATGCAAATGCGCCGTTGTTTTGCCGTTCAAACGAATGATTTTGTTCCATAAATAGGAAAAATTAATTTTTCGACGGTGTAAAATAATAAAAAATCAAAATAGGGATAATAATCTTTTGTCTAAATTCTTTTTAAAGAATACAATCTACACTTTTGGTTTATCGTAGCCGATAAATATATAAATAATATTGCGCAATTTAATTTGAAATATGAAATTTGTAAAACTACCCCTTTAACGAGCTTGTCTCTCTCAGGATTTATCGTACGTGTTAACTTTTTTTTTTCCACGATACGATTTAATTTTTCGAGGATAATTGAAACGACGAGCGTAATTTAAATGGATGAAAATTCGCAACTGGTTTCGAAAAAAATTGCGTAACGAACGACAATTAGATGCCGTGTTGAGTAATAATTGAATGACGAGCGCGTAATAAAGGGAAAATAATTTTAGTATCGTGACGAGGTCGACTTTCGAAACTGGACCATTTTGAAACGGGCACAAATGTCGTGCAAAAGCAATTTGCATCGAAGGCAGAGCCTCGTAATTAAGTTTCGTCAATTTCGTTATTCAAACGATTCTATTTAATTCCTACTCGACTGAATTCCAACCGGGGGGCAACATATTTAACGCGTCGTTACACGTTTTCGATAAGGAGACTTGTGCACAATTTTTTTTCCCCGCACGGAATCAATCAGAATAAGAAACCACGAGAATATCTTTCTTACACACCTTCTTCACGAAGAACTTCCTACGTACCTTTCAAGAAAATCACGAATACATAAGATCCAATTGTGAATAAAAATAGCTTACCTCGTACCAAGGCACGCGTAATATACACAGCGATAATAATACCTTTCTTCTACGCAGTGATTCTCTTCTTCTTGGTAATACACTTCTTCACCCTGTACACAATACCTTCAAAAGAAACCTGTGCATATAAAATCTACATGTAAATAAAAATAACTCACCCAGTATACTCGAAGCAACGACCACGCGTAACAGCACTTTTTACATTCTTGCAGTCTCTGTATCTTGACTGATAGTACACTTCTTCACGAATCATCCTATAATATCTTTCAAAAAAAAAAAAAAAAACATACGAAATTTCTCGTCATAATATCTGTAAGTAAAAACTACTCACCCTGTCGTTTCTCGGCGAAAAACGCGCGCACGAATCATTTCGAACGTGCATGCTCTCCAAAAGAAAGGGGTGACAACTTGTCAACCCTGTAACGAAGTAAATCGTCGACCCACCTATTTCGATGGAATTCACTTCGAATTTCTCACCCTTACAACTTTTTCCCCTTCTTCGACACGGCGGACCGCTTCAACCCCCGCGAATTACCTCGTCAGAAATTCAACCCTCGTACACAGCCATTTCGCAAATTCGATCTTCCTTCCGTGCCGCCCCTCGGCGCGCGCGCGCGCGCGAGCGAACACGCGAGAACAGCTCGCAAAGGCGGAAAGCGAGGCGAAACGAAGAAGTCAATGGCGTTACCCAATGTCGTCGCACAATTTTGGCGGATAAAAGTTTTTTCGAATCGACTCACGGTCGAACCCTCCCCTCTCCTCTCCTTGATTCGTCAAAGAGACGTGCGCATTCAGGGGTGGAAAGGTGCCGGAAGTGAAGTTTATCTACGGTAACTCATGGTGTTGGAAGTTCTTTTTCTTTTTTTTTTTTTTTGTTGTGCAATTTGGGTGTCGTAGAAATATTCTCTGTGTTTGTATTGCTTGCATTGTAATGAAAAATAAAAAAAGGAATATTGAATATTCTTTTCCAGTTTGAATCGTTATTTCGATGAAGGGAATTTGTAAAGAATCAATCTGTTGTATACTAACCTTATGTTTCGTTCCTTACGGACTTAGAACTTGAAATATCTTAAGAGGTTTCTTAAAAAAAAATGAAAGAAAAAAATGTTAAATGGAAATTTTTAATCAAGAAAAATCAACTTAATTATTAGTAATTTAAAATCTCGACATTGCATCGTTCGTCCGTCACTCTTCGTTTTCGACCGATAAAAAAAAGAAAGGCAAATATTTAAAATAACATCGAGAGGTTCCCGATAGAAAAAATTTTCGATAGAAAATTTCATTCCAATTACGCCGCAATTAATTTCGTTTCCGGATCCTATTAAATCCATCCTGAACAGGGGAACGAAATCCTCATACGTTTCGATGTTGGCGTCAGTGGGACGGTATAAAGGAGAGACAGCAGAGAGAGCTGTTCGGATCGCGTTAGAAATTTTCCCGTGATACTTTTCTTTGTCTGAATCCCTGAGAATCCTAACCCAACTCGATTCCAGACACGCATGAATCGTCGTTGGTGCGACGAAGAACCGGAAATGAAGGCCGTTGCGAATTCACGTGGCGAACGTCACATTCTGTTGAGTAAATTTTATCGAATCCACCGATCTTTTCGGTTTGGTGGAGGAAAAATCGTGATATATATCGCGAGACCGATACGCGTGGAAAGTGGAAAGCGACAGTGACACGTGTTGTGTCGGATCAACGACCACGACTTGGTGTAAAGTATCTCTGATAAAAAGGAAGAATATTTCGCGTGCGAATATCTTTTGAGGAAAGATTTCTTTGAAACGATGGTTTCGATTATTTTTTGATATTAAGAAGTAAGATTTTTTTTGAATGTCTAATTTGTTATGCGAAGATTGATGGAATGAAGAGATCGAAGAGATATGTTTCTTTCGCATGAATTTTTTAATGTATTATTGTTTTCAAATAAAATGAACAAATTTTGGAAGGAACAATATAAATGATTAAATCGAAATGAGAATATAATAAAGATGAAGTTCAAGATAATTTAAGATCATTTTAGATTTATTTCTTATTATTCTAAGAATATTTAAACGAGCAATAAAAAGTATATATTATTGTTCAATCGATTTAAAAATATTAAAATCTGTTTTTCTCTTTCTTTTGAAATTCTATCCCTTTTAACATAACTAAACATATTTTGAATAGGAGAACGTATATATATATGTGTATATACAAAGAAATTAAATAAATCCGTCAATTTGTTTGTTGACGATCGAATCACCGGACGATACGAATAAACCGTACAACAATAGTTAATTTTCTGCATATAATTTTATTCTCCAACCTCGAAATTCAAATATAAAATACTATTCGAATTTATACAATGTAATCGGCCACGTTAAAATAGAAAACCCGGAAAATGAACAATGCGTATTTGAACATGGGACGCGAGCACGTGCACGCGAATTAAAATTTACAAGCTGTCGGCCTGGATGCCGCGCAAAAATACAACTTTCTCATCCGTGAGTAAAATCATTAGCATTCCTCATAAAATTACGAACCTCGATTTTAAATTAACCCCCCTCCCCCCACGCATGTTACAACAATCTCCTAAAAAAAAAAAATTCCTTACCGACCATTCATTAATATTTTCCATCCCCTCTCGTTTTCCTTGTGTTTTTTGTTCTTCTTCTTCTTCTTCTTCTTCTTCTTTTTCTCGTCCATGTTTCATTCTTATCAAAAGTCTAGGCAAATATCAACGAAATCGTTGCTCGTCGCGTATATAAATATTCTAAGATTAAAAAAATAAATATATTAGTTCTAACGCTAGCGTTCTCTTTAAATTTATAAATTCGTCGCGAACGTTCGCGGGGTTTTCCCTTTCTCTCTCTCTCTCTCTCTCTTTCTCTCTCTCTCTTTCTCTCTCTCTCTCTCTTTCTTTTCTTTTTTTCTTTTTTTTTTTTTTT